TGTCTTTTGGAAGCTGCATTCAAAATCCACTTGGCTCAAAAATCTGAGGGGGCACGCCTCTGGTAATGATGATTGTGATTGTAATAGTGTTGATGTTGATAATGTGGTGTGATGATTATGATGATGACAGTGATGGTGATAGTGATGCATTTGATTCAGTCAGTTTAATGATGATTGTAATTGTGAATAGTGTTGGTGATGTTGATAATGTGGTGTGATGATTATGATGATGATAGTGATGGTGATAGTGATGCATTTGATTCAGTTATAGTAATGATGATTGTGACTGTGATTAGTGTTGGTGATATTGATAATGTGATGTGATGATTATCCTCTGGTAATGATGATTGTGATTGTAATAGTGTTGATGTTGATAATGTGATGTGATGATTATGATGATGACAGTGATGGTGATAGTGATGCATTTGATTCAGTTATAGTAATGATGATTGTAATTGTGAATAGTGTTGGTGATGTTGATAATGTGGTGTGATGATTATGATGATGATAGTGATGGTGATAGTGATGCATTTGATTCAGTTATAGTAATGATGATTGTGACTGTGATTAGTGTTGGTGATATTGATAATGTGATGTGATGATTATGATGATGATAGTGATGCATTTGATTCAGTGATAGTAATGATGATTGTGATGTGATGATTATGATGGTGATAGTGATGCATTTGATTCAGTGATAGTAATGATGATTGTGATAGTGTTGGTGATGTTGATAATGTGATGTGATGATTATGATAGTGATGGTGATAGTGATGCATTTGATTCAATGATAGTTATGATGATTGTGATAGTGTTGGTGATGTTGATATTGTGATGTGATGATTATGATGATGATAGTGATGGTGATAGTGATGCATTTGATTCAGTGATAGTAATGATGATTGTGGCGGTGATGATTGTGATAGTGTCAGTGATGATGATTAATGTGATGTGATGGTGGTAGTGATGACAATAGTGATTCATTTGATTCAGTGATATTAATGATGATTGTGGTGATGATGATTGTTGTGTTATGATAGTGATAGTGATGGTGGTTAGTGATGCATTTGATTCATTGATAGTAATGATGATTGTGGTTGTGGTGATTTTGATAGTGTTTGTGATGATGATGATGATGATGTTGTGATGTGATGGTGATAGTGATTCAGTGATAGTAATGATGATTGTGGTGGTGATGATTGTGATACATTTGAATTGATGATAGTAATGATGATTGTGGTGATGGACAGATGATTGTTATACTGGCAGTGTGATGTCCTGGTGGTGGTGATGTGATTGTGATGATAATGCTTTGTTGAAGATGATGTGGTGGTTATGATGTTCTTTTTGATGGCATTGTGTTGATGACATCGTGTTGATAACATTGCCTGTCCTGTGTGTAGGTTGTGTGTTGTTTGGGCAGGTGGTGGATCACATTGACTCTCTGCTGGAGGAATGGTTTCCAGGCCTCCTCGCCACTGATGTCCATGGCACCGGAGAGACACTGCTTAAGAAATGGGCTCTGTACAGCTTCAGTGATGGAAAAAACTGCCAAAAGATGCTGCTGGAAGAACTTCTCTCCAAAATCAATGCAGGTCTCTATCCATTCTGTTCACATTCAGAAATATAACTCCTTTCTTGATAACCTGGTGTATAAAAATGGTGCAAAACCTGTAGTGTACTGACTGGTTGCTTGTCTGTAAGATGGTTTGCTGGTGAACCCAGAGGACCCCAGCTGTACTCTGCCCATCTCTCAGATCTCTCCAGACCTGGTACTGTGTGACCAGCCATCCAGCATCATACTGGATCCAGAGCAACTGGAGATGGAGCTCTCGATGGAGTATATGTTGGGTTAGTACATTAATAAATTATTACATCTTATCTCACATATGTTACTGACAGTAAATGTCAACAAAGTAATGCAAGTATAAACTAACAGTATTTTTTTTACTGAAGGAGATGGAGGCTTTGGCTCCGTATATAAAGCTGTGTACAACAATGAGGAAGTTGCTGTTAAGATTTTCAATAAACATGCATCTACACTTTATGTTCATCGGCTGGTACGACAGGTGAGTTATGCAATAGAAAAAGAACCCCGGCAAGTCTTTCACTTGGTTAGGACATGAGCAAGTGGTGTCCAAGTACCAGCGTTAGTACATGATTGGTGTATTTGCCTTAAAATTCTTTGTCTCCAGGAACTGGCGGTTCTTGGCAGACTGTGTCACCCCAGTCTGGTGGGGCTTTTGGCTGCCGGTTGTAACCCACACATTCTTGTGATGGAACTCGCCCCATATGGCTCTCTGGACTCGCTTTTTGAGCGTGAAAATAGCAGTCTCAGCCGCAAACTACAGCACAGGATAGCACTGCATGTGGCGGATGGTCTCAGGTGTGTACGCTAGCTACACAATACACAAAAGCTTTAAAGAAATCACATTTAAATAAACATGCTGGGTTCAATACAGGTTTAAGCTTTAGGACAGCATCTACAACATGTTTTGTATTCAAGCAGATATTTGCACTCTTCTATGATTATCTACCGAGATCTGAAGCCGCACAACGTTCTGTTGTTTAACCTGAAGACGGATGCTGAGGTCATCGCTAAAATCACAGACTTTGGCATAGCGCAGTACTGCTGCAGTATGGGCGTCCGCAGCTCAGAAGGAACACCAGGTACCTCTAAGTTTCCCATAATCCTCTGTGAAACAGAGGATGTTTACTTAATATATTTTAATATTGTGTCTTCCACACACAGGTTTTAGAGCCCCGGAGGTCGCCCGAGGTAATGTCATCTATAACGTCCAGGCAGATGTATATTCGTTTGGTCTGCTGCTGTATGACCTTTTGACCTACGGCGAGCGGATATCTGATGGAATGAAGTTTCCCAGTGAGTTTGATGAGGTGGCTGTGCAGGGTAAACTACCAGGTAACATGCTTCTTTTGTTTATTTTGATGTTTATTAGTGCTGTCAAAATTAGCGCAATTAATGCAGGGGCGGAGCTAGGTTTGGCCACCTCACTCACTACTGCTGCTTCTGTCTCTTTTTTTTTTTCTTGACAAGAATTGCATTTATTTAGACACAGAACGTCTTTATGACCACATAAAACGGGAGAGATTAGTAGTAAATCTCCAGCACGTGCTTTCAGACGGAGCGGCATTTACTACACAGAGCCGTAGTTCACTGACAAGCTACGCAAAATCGCAGGCGATTCATTGCCGATTATGAACGCGATTTTGCGTAGCTTGTCAGTGAACTACGGCTCTGTGTAGTAAATGCCGCTCCATCTGAAAGCACATGCTGGAGATTTACTACTAATCACAGAAGCGGTTTTACTGACGAGATGCGCATGAAAATCGCATTCGATTTTTTGCACATCCCTACTTTTCAGTCACGCGTTCCAACTTCACCTCAGCACCAGGCGCGAGTCAAACGAGCGTGGAAAAGCAACTGCGCTCATACCGCGTGCTCGTTCTATTGCACGCACAAATGCGGCGGCACGCGCTGTAGCCTGTATCATTTCATATCAAAGCGCGAAAGAAACGACGAACATGCAGTGTTGTGGTTATGTCATCAGTTAAGTCATGAAGTTACCAAAAAAGCAATTAAAGCTGCCTTAAAACTGCGTGCATGTAAGTATTTGTTATATATGAGTTACATTTAAGGACATGTCTCTGAAATGCAGTGGTTTTCAAACTGTCCTGGAGCAGCAGCACTGTCTCCCTCATCTAACACACCCGATTCAACTCGTCAACTCATCAGTAGAGACTTTAAGAGCTGAGGTGGGTCAGAAAAGGTAAAGAGATGCATGTCAGATCTGCGTCATGTTCAGCAGCAGCAGCTCTTAAAGTAATAGCAGCCAAAAAAACTAATAACCAGCTGCTGTGATGTCTGTTTATCAAACAACAAAAGAAAAAAGAGGATTCATCTATATTTAATTTATAATTTAGTGTTTGATAACTTCAATTTCAATTTCTGTATATTTCCTACTTGCTGAAGGGCACATGTAGCTAAATATGATATTTATTATAATGGGTTTATGTGAAGATTGTTTAAAGTTCACATAAATTAGAAGTTATTTTAAGTAGTCTAATAAATGTTCAAATTGATAGCTCTCAATTATGCTGTAATGTTGAATGGCTATAGTCAATGGTTAAATATTAGGAAAAAAAACTATTTCATAGAGACATCAGTATTTGTATCAGGGATACTTGCCTTCAGTCATAAAAAAGATGCCATTATACAAATATTAAAAATATACTGTCTTTATGTTGTTTGTACATTAATTTGAAGATTGAATGTGAAATTATTGCAATGTAAAAGTATTTTTAAAAACTTTAATGTTAGGTGGGATTAATCGCAATTTCAGAAAGAAATGTGTGATTAATTAGTTTTTTTAAATTATTTTTTTATATCGATTGACAGCACTAATGTTTATACATACACTACTGTACCATTCAAAAGTTTGGGGTCTGTAAGATTTTTTTTTTTTTTCAAAGAAGTCTCTTATGTTCACCAAGGCTTTGTTTATTTAATCAAACATACTGTATATATAATTAGTAAAATTGGAAAAAAATATTTAAAAGAAACATTTTATATTTTAATATATTTAAAAAATATAATTTATTCCTGTGATGCAGTGCTGAATTTTCAGCATCATTACTCCAGTCTTCAGTGTCAGATGATCTTTCAGAAATCATTCTAATATACTGATTTGCTGCTTTAAGAAACATTTCTGATTATTATCACAGTTGAAAACCTTAATATTTTTTTGAGGAAGCAGGTGATACTTTTTTTCCAGGATTCTGATGAATAGAAAGTTCAAAAGGAAAGCATTTATTTGAAATATATATATTATTACTGTCACTTTTGGTATATATTGTTTAATATTATAGTATGTTATTATATTAATTACAAGTATCAATTTAATTCTGTCTGCTCAGGTTAGACTGATTACAACTGATTGTAACTGATTCTTATAAACTTATTACATCTTAGAAAGAATCACTTCTGAACTTCTGTGAAAACATTTGAGTAAATAAATATATCTGTGTATGTTCTAGGTGTTTGATCGTCTGAATTCTGTAGAGATGCTTTGTCTGATGCGAGAGCTGACATCGATGAGTTTGCCTGGCGAGTGTTTCACTGTCTCCGGTGCCAGCGGAGGTGCAGACGGAGGTAAAAATACCTGTGTGTGGATTGGAGGTGGCAGTTGCAGCCAGAAATTAGGCTGTGTGACATCACTGGATCTGGAGACAGGGGGAAGCTTGAGCCAGGTATGAATTTTACTGTATATACACTGTTTTCTTGTTAAATGCTATTTCATCTAAACAAATATGATTATATGATCCTCATTTCAATGTTCAGCATATAATAGTTTTCAGTTACATGCCAACCAGTTCACCCACAATCCTTGAAGAGTTAACTCGTTGACTGCTGTATATTTAACAGTCCAGTTAACAGTGTTTCCGCCCTCTTTTAGGAGATTGACAGCAGTCCAGTCCTCTGCATGGTGATCATCAGAGCTCCGGGGTCATGCAGTGACTGGTTAGTCGCTGGTACACAGTCAGGTTCACTCTTCATCATGGACACAATAAAAGCAGAGGTTCTGCACTGTCTGAAGAGTGTGAAGGACTCTGTGACATCACTCTACTTTCACACTGACCTTCACCACAGGTGATTACATCTAAATTTTTTGAATAAAAAGTGGAATGGCTTCTTGGATGATCTACGTTTAGATGAGAGAATGATGTTTCAATTTTTCAGATACTTAAAGAATTACCTTTTGGTCGGGACAGCAGATGGATCATTGGTCATTTATGAAGATTCAGCCTTGAAGGTATAGCTTTTTTAATCATTATTTATAATTTTAATAATTATTTCGATATGCACAGTATAATACTATTGAACTTTGAAATAGTCCAAGATTTACTGGAGAATCATCTGAGAATGCTTTTTTTAATTGACAATGAATTCTGAACTATAATTGTTTAGCACTATAATTGATTGCATACACTACCGTTCAAAAATTTGGGATCAGTAAGATTGTTTTGGAAAGAAATTAATATTTTTTATTTAAAAAGGATGCATTCAACTGATTGTAAGTGACAGTAAATTTATAAAGACTTCTGTTTCTATTTTATTTTTGCTATTTCAAATAAATGCTGTTCTTTTGAACATTATAATAATATAACCATTTTACTGTATTTTTGATCAAATAAATACAGCCTAGGTGATCATAAGAGACTTCGTTCAAATCTTACCCACCCCAAACTTTTTAACTGTAGTTCTAGCATGCTGCAAGCTATGTCAGACGCCTGACATATCTGATGTTTTATGACTGTAGGTGAAGAATGGTGGTCCAGTGAAAACGCTGCAGGTTGGTGCTGTGAACACTCCTCTGATGTGTCTCGGTCCGTCCAGTCACCCTCAGGAGTGCAGAGGACTGTGGGCGGCCTGTGGCAGCAGGGTGATCTCGCTCACAGTGGGATATGACATCAATAGAAGCATAGACACCAAACCCAAACAGCTGTTCCCGTGAGTAATGCTAACCCTGCTAAAGACAAGCATAACTACATCTGTCAGTGTAAAACAAATGACCATTAGGTTCAGGTATTCTTGTGGAAAACAGCTTAATTTTTAACTTACTTTTTCTGCTAAAGATAAATATACTCTATACAGGGTCATAAAATTAACAGGGGTCTTATCTTGACAAATTCAAGATCGGGGGCAAAAAATGCCCCTGCGCAATTAAATATACTGGGGGTGCCTCAGGGTTCTATGTTTGGCCCCATACTATCCTTAGTTATACAGTCTCAAAGGACATGGCTTTTCTTATCTGTGCAAAAATCAGCTCTACCTGTCCTTCAGACCTGAGCTTATATTGTGGATTCATCAGGATGACTCCACAAAATTAACACATATCTCTTCCTGCCTCTCAGCCTTGTTGCTTAGAATGCTTAACACAAATGTTAACACTATTAAACTTTCGAGATGTAAGTGAAATGTGAAAATGAATGGAAAGTGTTGAGTGCAGCATTACATTTAGATCTGCTCGCAATTTCTTTTTACATGTTCTTTGCGGCATTGAACATTATAACCAACATACATTTCTGTTGAACTTATGAATGCAATGGCCAAATAGTGGTGTTTAGATTAGTCACCAGTAATGAATAAATCCACTGAAAATGGAAAAGTTTTGTTCACTAACTTAAAAGGGTCATATGATGCGATTTCAATTTTTCCATTTTCGTTGAAGTGTTACAAGCTCTTGGTGCATAAAGAAGATCTGTAAAGTTGCAAAGACTAAACTCTTCTGAATTGTCTCATCATAAACCAAAAGTACAGATACAGCTTCATTGATTGTGTCTGTGTAGCCAAACTATGATGTGCTGTTTCCCCACACACAAAAACAATTTTGTATTTAATTAATCAACATTAATAATCATTAAAACAATATCAAGAGCAATAATCGACTTTTAATGATTTTTGTCATATTTTGATACATTATGCAAAAGTAATCTGTGTAAATAAACAAATGCCATGTCAGATTTTTTATTTTTTTTAATACAAATTTTATTGGTAACACTTTAGTACTCTGATTGAATAAAGTAATTGGTTACGTTTAATTATTTAACATAAAATACAGTACAGATACATTTAATAGAGTGAATATAAAAATTGCCCTTACAAAAATAAAAAGTTTCTGGAAATCAATTCAAATGTTGCCCCTTAATGCAAAAGGGAATATCTGACCCTGATGTATACCGTACACTACATTGCCAAAGGTATGTGGACACCAAAAATACCGGTCCAATATGTGCTCGTGATATCAATTTTGGCCATATCGTCCAGCCCTATGGACACATGTCACAACAGAAAAGCACCATTCACCATTCTTCTCAAAATGTTTGTCTAATGTGATTGCATGGTCATATGCTTGATTTTATGTACATACTAGTAATGTGTCTATCTGAAATAGCTATACTTGACAATTCGAAGTGGGTGTCTACATACTTGTGATCAATCATGTAGTGTACTTGGCACTAAAATAAGCATTCTAGCGTCAATTCTGAGAGGCAGGAAGAGATGCATGTTCATATTGTGGAGTCATCCAGCCTGATTAGCTCAGATATAAAGGACAGATAGAGCTGATTATCATCTGCACAGATTAGAAAAGCCATGTCCTTTATGATTGGGCCTAGTGAGATTGTATAAATTAAGAATAGTAAGGGGCCAAACACAGAACCCTGAGGCACCCCCAGTGGTTTGCTGATTGTAATTTGCCCATGAAGTAATACTCAGGAATGCGATGTTCAGTGATGTCCAGATCAGAGAGAGTAGACTGGAGATTCTGGTGATTCACCATGTCAAAGGCAGAAGACAAGATTAGTAAGATCAGGATGGATAATTCTGGATTTGCTTAAACGTCACATAAAAATGTGGTTTGCATGTCTGTTAAACAGCCTTTTACAAAGAATTTCTTGGTGATGTTCAGTTCTTAAGCATGTTTATTTGTTTTTTTAGGCAACATGGTCGAATCAGCAGTGATCCTTGTATATCACGGTTAGCGGTGGACAAACATGTGTATGTAAGCAAAAGGGGCGGCCACACTGTGGAGGTCTGGGATAAGAAGACTGAGAGGATGGTGAACCTCATTGACTGCGCACAGTTACTCAGGTGAAGTGGCACACATGAACAACTCACTCAAACACTTTTGACCCATTTACACCCGTTATTAACATCCATTTCTGATTGTCTGATCACAAGTTGTCAGCACTAAATACAAGTAGTGTCCAAAATGTTTTGTGGCAGGATCACTCACACTACATCTGAAGTCAGAAACACATGTGTAGTGTTAACACTAATCTGGTGTGTCCTGGAGATCAATCAAAGACCGCTGACTTGCCTGTCAATCAACCATTGTGCTAAAACAAAACTTTAAATGTTGTTGGTTCGGAAAATAACCATCCGATTATGTCGGATGTCCACCAGACTTCATGAAAGGTCTCGGATTTGCCTCATGTCAACATGCAGTGACACTGATCATGTGAAACACATCCGAAGTTTAGTTGTTATGGGAGTTTGACTGAAATGACAATGAACATTCTGTATGAAATGTCACATTTGTGGCAAGATTCAATTTTAATAATTTGGAAGCAGCAGTTCCTCAATTTTTTGTACTTTGTATGTTTTATGAAATCAGAGAATCTTCACATTTCAGACAATACTAAGTATCGGATGACCACATGTTGACCCTAACTTCCAAACCCGTTTCGATTTATGTGTCCACAACAGATTAAGTTCCACCAAAAAGCCCAAAGCCCAGAGTGAGGACCAGTCTAGACAAATGGTGCCATCTTTGGCAATTGTTAAAGCTCTGTTGGTCCAGCACAGTGGTACTCTGTGGATTGGGACCAAAGCAGGACACATCCTGTTGGTGGAAGTCTCCAGCTGTCAGTTACTTCAGACCATCAGCCCTCACTGCCACTCCTTACGCTGCATGGGTTCTGTGCTGTTAGGTACACTTCCTGCTTCCTGTCTCTCTTTAATCTAATTACACAAAAAATGTAATAGGATCTTACTTAGGATTAGTTGGTAAATAGTTTGGCATCTCTTGAAAAAAAAAAGACTATGTCATGACTATGACTATACACGTTCATGGCTATGTTTCTTAACACACTCGTCAAATGAAAAATGTTACTTTTTACCAGTACATTTTAAATAATTATGCTTTAATAATCCTCTGTTGTGCTTTGAAGAAGTACACTTATGTTGATGTGTTGACTAACATACTTAAGCACATGTAAAATACTTGATTATAATTTGAACGGCAGTGTGATATTCAATTTTACATTTAAAATATTTTAAATGTACTAAATTGTTTCGATAGAAATGACAATAACGTATGTTTAAGATGGCTATATTTAAAAAAAAAAAACAAGTCCTACTGTGGGTCAAAAAGCATTCTAAAGTTCAGCTAATTGCATTTATATGGAAGCCCGTTTCCGCCACTGAATAAAACATAAAAAAGGTAATTGCGACTTTTTATCTCACAATTCTTTTTTTTTTTCTCGAAATTCTGACTTTTTTCTCCGAATTGCGAGATATAAACTCGCAATTGCAAGTTATAAAGTCATAATTGTGAGACATAAATTCGCAATTCTGAGAAATAAAGTCAGAACTGCAAGATATAAACTCACAATTTTGACTTTTTCTCAGAATTACGAGTTTAAATCTTGAAATTGTGACTTTTTTCTCAGAATTACGAGTTTACATCTTGAAATTGTGACTTTTTTCTCAGAATTATGAGTTTAAATCTTGAAATTGTGACTTTTTTCTCAGAATTATGAGTTTAAATCTTGAAATTGTGACTTTTTTCTCAGAATTATGAGTTTAAATCTTGAAATTGTGACTTTTTTCTCAGAATTACGAGTTTAAATCTTGAAATTGTGACGTATTTTCTCAGAATTGCGAGTTTATATCAGAATTGTGAGATAAGAAGTCACAATAACCTTTTTTAATTTTTTTTATTCAGTGTCGGAAACGGGCTTCCATACATTTGATATAAATTTACACTATAATACATTTTCATTTAATTGCAATTAACATGCAATTAAGTGTCTGAAAACATTACATTCACATAATTATTCTTTTTAAGTATATTATTTTGTAAAAAGTATTTTTTTTATTTATTTTTTTATTTTTTTAAGTATGCTAAAGTGGACTTCTTTTTCACAAAGGATATATATAAAGTTTTGTGGATTTTGTTTGTATTACATCGAGTTACAATTGTTTTAACTCACTACATACAGAAATATTTATTGCTTATTTTTGTTTATATTCTTTTGCAGACACACTAAACCGAAAGAATGTTATTCTAGTATTGGGTAGACGGCAACGAATGCCACAAGACCAAATCAAAACGCAAGGTAAGAACATTATAGATACATATAGATTGAATTTCAGAAGTTATAACATCTTTTTTTTATTTTTTATTATTTCATTTTTATTATTCTAATTATTTTATGAATTAATTTAGTTAAATTATATATTTTTTTTTTCTGAAGTCCACTTGTAATTTTAGTATCAAATTGTGTGGTAAAGACACTCATTCTTTGCATGAATCTCAAAAGAACAAGGAACATTTGCTTCTGCATGATATGAGCCCTTCAAATGTGTTTGTGATAGTCCCAGCTGAGGATTCAGTTCTGACGGTGTGGAGCAGTTCACTGCCTCTGGAGGTCAGAGATCTGATCCGACACTGTGAGCTACGAGACAAGATCACCAGCAAAATGAGAGAAACACTCCACAACTGATCACCCTCTCTGTGTGCGCATCACTTCCTGTCATGTAACACATGTAGCATTACTGTGTTTATTGTGCAGATTTTGATTGAAACGACTGGATTTCGCCTGCGAAACTTTGCTGAGCAACAGTTAATGCGACCGAACCTTTACTGTTTTGAAAAGGGACCCATGTGAAAATGCAGTTAGTGTGAAAGGTTATTTTATATAGTCATGGGAAACATTTATTTTTGTTACATCTCATATGTAGCTGTGCATTGATATGTTTGGAGTATACAGAAACTGATATAAGGTAGACAACCAAAATTGCAAACACTTGAGTTAGCGTTATTATTTTACAGTATTTATTCATGATTTGAAGCCATAAGAACAGAGGAGAAAGCCATCATTTATCAAAAGTATCTCTAATACCTCTTATGCAAATGTATCATGTTTAGTTTTCACTAGAATATCATAGTTACTGCTGCTGTTAGCATCTGGAGCACAATAGACAAACTGTTAACGGTAACTAGCATAACTGTCATAAAAACAACTGAAGATTATGAAATCTTCTTGCACTTTTTGAAGGGAATCCCACGTTAATGCTAGTATTCAGACTGACTAATGCAAAGTCTATTTATTAAATCTCTGTGTTAATTGTTTGGAAATTGAATTGTACTATGAGTAATCCATTGCTAAATTCTGAGCAATAAGCTATTAAAGTTACACTACACACATTCTGACCTTTTATGAATTACAACCAAGTGATCTTTATTGACAATAAGACAGTGATTAAAGACTCTTTTTTTTTTAGTTTAGTTTTTTTAGTTTATCAAGTTTAATAACCTCATAAAATCAAGCACAACAAAATATAACTGGATTACAAGCCATAGATAAAGATAATATTTTTGTTACAAATATGACCTTTTACTGTTGTTTGTTTTGGGAACGCAATGATTATTGATGATTTATATTTGTTTGTTGCATGGCAAGCATGATTTTAATAAAATATGTTTTGTCATTTTGTATGATAACTTTATTTTTTCATCATTTATTTCCCATTATTGTAAGAAATATTTTCTGATTATTTTATATATATATATATATATATATATATATAAATTCAAATATAATTGATATTAAATACTGATATTGTTATTTCTATTAAATATTAATATAAATAATTAAAAAATATCACAGTAACAAATAATATTGGAAATCAAGAAATATATTGATTACATTAAAACCGCAGAACACGTGCGGCGGGAAACAGCTCCAGAAGAAGAGTCACGTGCTCAACCCCCGGTCTAAAGCTCTGAATAACAATTCTCCTTTTTTTAACTCCTCACAGTACTTGTTTCAATTGAATGCATTGGTCAGTATTGTTGTTTGCTGTAGGCGAGAATTATTGTTGACGTTAACGGTGCTCTCACGTTGCACTTGTTACTTTTCTCTGCGCTGATAGCAAAGAACCAATCACGATTGTTTGTAATTCGCGTCCCCTGAAGGAACCGCTAGAAAGGGATACAGCTGCGGCTACTGGGCATGCGCACATCAATATAGCGTCACAACTATAATTACTGTATTTGCATTATTGTAAGGGGTAGGTTTAGGGTTGGGGTAAGTGTAGACGTTAATAAAACACAATCTAATTGGTAGAAAAATTAATTTACTGTTAACTTCCGGCAGTAGCTGTATCCCTTCCTAGCCACAAACCACTTTGGGCTAATTCCAAACGGATGTGAGCATCCCTATGCCCTACTCCCTTCGAAGAGCAGAGCCCTTGAAGTGTGTTCTTTGAAGGGTGCAGGGTATTACTGTCTCGGGAATTACTGTAGCGTTTTGAACTCCCTTGGCCATTTAATTAGCCTATTCTATTTACGTTTGTATTAAAAAGCATCGCAAGATCTCCTAACCGAAGTTCACATGATCACAAACGGAAATCACTTCCGGGAAGTGACTGCATGCTCCCTTCGCTAACGGACTTCTGGAAGGGCCCTTCATGAAGGGATTCAGTTGTTCACTTTTAAGGTACCTACAAAAGGCGACCCCCTTCCCGAAGTGCCCTTCAAGGGCGCAAAATAGCCGTTTGTACGGTGGCCGAGAAGTGCAAAGCAAATCACAATTCTGAAAACAAAATAACAAATTACAAACGCAAATGCAAGTCTAAAAAACAAAATAACAATTCAGAAAGCACAACAACAATTCAGAAAACACAATGACACATTCGAAAACAAATGAACAAGTCAGAAAACACAATGACAAATCAGACAAACCGGAAGAGGTAGGTATAGTTTGAGACAGCGCCATTGGTTTGGGATTCGCCCTTTATGTCTGACAGGAAACAGCCAATAAAGTTTGCCGCTCGACGGCCCCGCCCCTTCGGTGTCACGTGACACAAACAGAGCTCTATCTGGCCATGTACGTCACGCTGACTCACTTCATGACAGCAGAGGTTATATCACATCACACTGATCAACACTAAACTTCATCTAACATCATTTCTGAGAGCAGCAGACACTGACACCGGCATGAAACCGCTTCAAGCTTTCATTCCGCTCAGACCCCGCTGTTAGATCCGCTTACTGGAAGACAAAACTGCTTCAGAGGAAACTCGGACTCAGTTCCAGTAAGTTAAACATGTCTGCCATCATTGACAGTAGCGCATGTGTAGCTGCACTCTTACTGCATTTCATAACGCTAATACATGTATTCTTGCTTTTTATTTTCAGTTTAGATAATATATGACAGTTACTAATTATATCTGACAGCACTTTCCAACTTTATTTATTTTTAGTGGCAGTATGTATGTAGTAACATACTGTACGTGTGTATGTAATATGTATTTTATTATTTTTTCCATCAGATTTGGTTTTAAATATGTCCTGTTCATGCAGACCTGCAGTGAGGGTGATTGTAAAGTCAGTGCATAAAGGTGAGCGAACTATCAACACTCAGTTAAAAAGCTGAATAACTGTTACAGTAACGTTACATTCGACTTTGGTTCCTATCAGCAGCCCAGATAACAGTTTTTGCTTCTCAGAAGGTTCTGGTCTTGTTGTTCCCAAAACCTACTTGTTTAAGGCCAGTTTTTGTCTTAAAAATCCTTAGTGCAATGGTTTGGGGACGTTACTTCATGGTACTTAAAATTTCCCAAGAATGTTATTATTTGTTTTCCAAAAAAGAATCAAATACTAACTCAACTGTTCAGTTCCCGGATGTTAAATATCACGGCATGCTCGAGAGTCGCAACATTCCTACAATGGCCACAGAGCTGCCAACACAACATAAACTATCAGACAGTGTTTATTATTATAATGCACTTTCATAAATTCATTGAGCCCAATGTTTATAGATCACAGTATTAGTGGTGTTTATTAATAAGGTCTCATTTTTATTGATTTAGTTTTTATGTGTTTTCGCGACTGTTATGGTTTTATGATCAGGACAGTGTATAGTAATGGCTTCTGATGGTGTTGTAATTATCATATTCACATGCCATGCTGTGTAAAACAATAGTAAAAGAAGTGCACTTAAACATGCTATTAAAAGAGTGCTTATTACAGAAATAATATATACAGTGGGTACGGAAAGTATTCAGACCCCCTTAAATTTTTCACTCTTTGTTATATTGCAGCCATTTGCTAAAATCATTTGCGTACTTCACCCAAAAATGACAATTAGCTGAAAATGTACTCACTCTCAGGCCATCCGAGATTAGGATGAGTTTGTTTCTTCATCAGATTTGGAGAAATGTAGCATTGCATCAGTGTCTCAGCAACGGATGCATTGCAGTGAATGGGTGCCGTCAGAATGAGAGTCCAAACGGCTGATAAAAACATCACAGTCCATCAATTAATGTCTTGTTAAGCGAAAAGCTGCATGTTTGTAAGAAACAAATCCATCATTGAGACGTTTTTAACTCTAAACCTCGCTTCCGGCCGAAATGTGAGTCCATCAAATGTAATTCAGCTGGTTTACTAGTTTTGGTATTATATTCTGGCAGGTTTTTCCCGTTCACGTGTTCAGCTCTTCAGCCACACTAGAGCAGCGTGTGATGAAGTTCATCGACCTCCGTTTGTGCGCGTGAGATCGTTTTCACAGACAGCTGTGTGTTTCTCCTCTAAAGACAGCACACCCAGAGACGGCGATGGCGGAAAGGTGCATTTCAGTCTTTTTGTTGCATTTACATGAATGCTTGTTTAATGTGTAAGATATTGATCGTTGTTGACGGTGCTGTTTTGCAGAAGGGTGCGGGTGAGGCGAGTGGAAAGCGGGCGTCAGGCGCTGGAGGTTCAGGGAAAGGTGGCAGTCAACTGAGATGTCCGAAATGTGGAGATCCTTGTACACACGTGGAGACTTTAGTGTGTAAGTATCTCTCTTTCCATTGACCAGTATTTAATGTTCATTATCTTAGGTTTTAATAATAACTAGAGGAATCAAGAACATTCACGGAATTTACAGAATTGTCAATGGTGCCATTAAAAAAAAAGGAAAAAGGTTTTAAAAGAAAGGAAAAATCCAATTTAAAGCACATTTGCCAAATTCTTAAAAGAAAAGAATATATATATATATATATATATATATTTATATGTTTTGTTTGTTTTCTTGTTGGTTTTATATGGTTTTGAAAAATGTTTATGCTATTTTTAATAGATTTTCTTTGCTATTTTTTTATATTTTTAAAGTTAAAAAAAAGTGTATACATTACTTTTTTTTCAATATTTTTTTTCAAGGAAAATTTTATTTATTTAGTTATTTATTCTTTCCTTTTTTTTTTTTTTTTTTTAAAAATTTCATGATTTTGTTGATCATGACTTTGATTTGGCATACTTTTTTTTTTTTGTCAGATGTTAATAAACGGTGAAGAAGTTTTGTTAAAATGTGTTATTTTAAATCTTTTTTTGTCTAAAAAATAATTACAAAAGATTAGATACTATTTATTTTTTCCCCCTTCATTATGATTTCAGAACAATTATATCATCCTGATACTTTTAACGTTTTTTCCAGAAAAATACAAAATATTAAAAATATATAAATCATCTTTAACCCTTGTGCGTCAATTAAAAAAAGTTACACATAGGTCCATAGTGGTCAAAAATGTCCATGTCAAAAAACTGTCATAAAAATGTGAAGCTTGGGAGCACAGAGTTAAGTTTGGTCTCATTTTAAAGAAGACCCATGGCAGATTATTGTTGAAGTAAAAAAAGTTTAAAAAGTGAAACCAAAAAAAAAGTTCTAGATGTTTATTGAAAAATCACTTACTCTGCCTTTAAAGGAAATGGAAGTGAAATAGTAAAGTTCCAATAAAAATACACACCTGTGCCAAAATTTATGCAGTTGGCAATAACACAGGCAAAATGATCAAAAAAACTAAACTGAAAAGGACAAAAATGTCCAAAAGGTCGCACAAAGGTTAATTCAGAAATTAGCTGTATTCAAGTCATTAAAAATGCAATTCATAAATAAAATGTAACTTTTAATAAATAATAGGTAGGAGAAAGAATAAATGTCACATCATTGACCTGGGCATTTTGTTACATTTTTTGTACAATATTGTGTTTTGTGTCAAAACGTGATGCCCAAAGTAAGATCTGGATCCTGAAGCAAAACTAATGTCAAGTCACCTTTATTCATATAGCGCTTTATATAATACTGATTGTGTCAAAGCAGCTTTACAGAGTCAAACAGGAAAATAGTTTGTCAATAACGCAAGAAGACATTAACAGAATCAATTTTCAGCTAAAGTCAGTTCAT